CAGCCTGTCAGGGCCAACCCAGGCTGAGAGGGGTACAACATCCGAACTGAAAGACCGAGATACACGATAAAAAGTTTCCCCACACGGAAATCGAACTCGATAAAAACTCTCCCTACCCGGAAATCGAACTCGCGTCTCCTGCCTGTGAAAACTAACCCCCTGACCGCTACACCACAGACGCTAGTACTTACGCCTACCTCTATTCTAGCTGACTGATTGTTAATATCTCACGTCCACATCGACACGCTTGAGATCATGTAGAAATAGACCCGCGGGTGGTTGGCGGGTGCTCTGGTGTGGTTTGCTTCTTCTTTCCTATGAAACATCTATCGTCTTTATCTCCCCTTCTTCATTTTATATGTTTGTTACTCTCTTGTAACACCTCTAATCTTCTTGCGCTCATATGACCATATGCAGTTGTGAGCGCCGTAAAACCTCTACTAAAATAAGAAATAGGCTCGCTTCGGCCCTGACTGTCATGGTCCACTCGCACTGTTTGGGGTACTGCATCCCAGCAGCAGCCGGAGACAGTGGATGAAATAACTTCTCCAAACACAAATCAAACTAACGACTCCTGCGTGTGTCGCCGATGTGTCTGACCATGACACCACGGACAAAATAGCTCTCAGCCCAAGAGTACTGTATCTGATATAGTACTCCTTGCTCTCAGCCTATACGTTCTTATACTATCCGTTCTCTGACCGTCTAGCTCTCAGCGCTATTCTGATTCCATGCACGCACAACTCTAACTGATAAGGCTCACGTGCTGAGCTGTAAGACTCGCTGGTGGTTTAATTCTTAGAAGTCGGCACATCTGCTGACTAGATGCTGCAATATTGCTTGTTCTTGTTTCCCTCTTTAATCAGAAATATCCACTTGTCTTTGCTACAACTTTGTGTTCTCATATCGATCTTTTCTTAACATTTTAGTGGTTGATACAATCTCAATGCTTGTAGCTTGAAACCTTTCTTTTTGTGCTGAAAATGTTAACACATACCTATTTCAAATCATGCATGTTGCGGCAAAACAGGGAATAGGCTTACAACTTGCAAGACTTAAGGTGACTGATACTTTACTTCTTTCATTATAATTTGTTTATTTGCCTCCTCTCCTCATCACCCCGCCCTCAACCCATGCTCAAGTTCTCTAAAAGACCAATATTGTTAAAACGTTCTGAAGCCCCTCTGACTCTAGCAGAGAAGCAGTACCACCCACTTCCTTCGTTTTTTTCCGTAAAGGGTTTAGTGGGTGGGGATCGACATACACGCTCACTTCCCCGTTACGGTTAACAAGCTGCTCTTTTAATACAGTCTTCACAAAAGTTAAGGACCACTTACAAAAGTGCACTCAAAATAAAAACCACGAAATCGAATTATGCCTTCTTAGACACACATTTAATTCATCAATCCATAAATGCACAAGAGAAATTTAATCACAACTGAGACCGAAATTGGTAATTCCCAGCGCTCAAAAGGGACCCAACCTCAAAATCGAAAATCACAAAGAAAGGGTCTCAAAAAGTCCCAGCAATATCAAAGAAAACGACCAGTTCAAGTTCGTGAATGTCAAAGGAATTGTCAGAAGCGCATGTGCCCACGTTTCACGGCAAGGCAGACAAGGCATCCTGACAGGGCAGCGGTATCTGCCAGAGATCCTTCGACCTCTGGTCGTCACAGCGCTGCAGCAGATTGGGCCTGCTGAGCTGTCCTTCAGGATGACAACGCCACGCTGCACAGGTCCATGGCGTCAACGCCTTCGTTTAGCAGGCGGGGATTACCCGCATGGTTTGGCCAGCCGACAGTCCAGACCTCAATCCTATTGAACAGTTGTAGATTGAGCTTGATCGGAGAGTTTGGGAGAACCACTCTTTACCCGCCAGCAGCTGCTTGGGTGGTTGTAACAAAAATGGAACAACATTCCCCACGCTTTTCTTTTGTGTTTTTCGATTTTGAGGGTGGGTCCCTTTTGAGCGCTGGGAATCGTGCATTTCTGTCTCGATTGTTATGACATTTCTTTGTTGCACTCATGGATTAATGAATTAGATGTATTTTAAAGAATGAATAATTTGATTTGCTGGTTTTTATTTTTCGTGCCCTTTTGCAAATGTTCCTTAACCTTTAGTGAAGACTAGATGCTTTTATTCGGGTCAGGGGCGTTCTAGTTTTTTACTCAGGTTGCTGCCATCCTTCCCCCTTTTTGCGCCTCCCCCTCCCCAACTCCCCTTTTCTTTTCTCTCACTCAAGTGGGCCAAATGCTCAATTTATGAAATGGCCTATTTTTGTGTTGTAGGGTTGGGTAATCTCTAAAAATAGGTTTGCAAGCACACACACGCACACGCACACGCACACGCGCGCACACACACACACAC